TTTGTTTGATAAATTACACAAGAGACAAAGTAAATTTTTTATAATTATGGGAGGAGAGTGGCAGACACACAGACATACATGAATGCACAACACACGGAATGAGTGTGTGTGTGTGGGAGAGAGAGAGAGAAGTATCTGACATATGGGCAGGTTTCAGGAATGTTTTGAAAGTAACAGGAATCTACACAATTTTAAGATGAGATTGTTGTATTATTTGGGACTTAAAAGAATGTCTTTCTCAGGCCTGGCCCTAATGTGTCTATCTCACGATACGTGGCATTATTTGACAAAATAAATATCCATTTGATGCTGTTTATTTTCCAGTGTTGGTACTTTCTTATTTAAATAAGAAAGGGTGGGGTGTGACCAGCCGGAAACTGGAAATATTGATGGCAGGAAGAGCACGCTGGTGAAGGTGTTGGAACATTGTATTGTTGGAACTTGGTCATGAACAATTTTGTAACTGTATATCTTATGTGATTTAATTTAAAAAAATAGAAAAGAAAATTGTGTAGCCCATAAAGGGCAACTTATCTGTTAAAAAAAATTTCCTATTGACCTTGAGCACCTCAGTGGTAGTCACTTCCAGTTCTTCTGGTTCTCCTTCTTCTCTTAACCATCCGACAAGGCCTCTTGTGAATAGTCCAGGTAGAGCCATGCCTCTCCAAAGACCACATTAGTTCTCACTAAGGGGAAGAAAGTTTGTTCAATGAATAGTTTTAAAGATAGAAAAAGTATTTTATATTTATCTTTAACTCTGTGTAAATACATCTAAACTCTGTCAACATTCCATTTCTGCAGAAGGTATTTTTAAAGAAGAGCTGGGAACTCTATCTTATTTAACCATGTATCCTTTTGGGACTGACCCACAATATTCAGAAACACTTGACCGCTGCCTATCTTTGTCATTGCTTCATTCAAGGAGCGTTCCTAGGAAGCTGGCTGTCATGTAGGAGGGAGTGTGTATTTGCAGTATAGAGCATGGACTTCCTTGTGTTCGATCGCCCAGTTCAAATCCTGACTCCTGATTGTCTTCACACTGTGGTCAAGTTACATAATGCTTCAGTTTTCTTTTCTCTAGAAAATATAGGAACATAGTGTTTAACCTCAGGATTGCAGCAATATTAAGATAGAAATTATTTGTCAGAATCTCTTAGCACATATTAATCCAAACTGTTAAAAATTGTGGTGTAGTAGAAAGACTTCTAAGGGGACAAAAGTCTAGATTTTAATTCTTCTTTCACATTATTTTATGTTCTATTTTATATTTTAAGTTCTGGTTTTTGTTTGTTTTTTGTTTGTTTGTTTGTTTTTTGTTTTTTGTTTTTTAAGTCTTGAGAACTACCTGCCTCCCATTTCTGTGGGGACTGTCAAAAGAGGAATAGAAAGTAAAAGGTGGTGTGAAAACAACAAGAAACTACATGATTTTAAGATGAGATTGTTGTGTTATTTGGGATTTAAAAGAATGTCTTTCTCAGGCCTGACCTAATGTGCCTATCTCACGCTGCGTGGCATTATTTGACAAAATAAATATCCATTTGATGCTGTTTATTTTCCAGTGTTGATACTTTCTTACTTAAATGGTAAGTGGTTCTTTTAGATCACAAATCTGTTTTACTGCTTTTGTTTGAGTTAATCAGACAGTAGACGAATACTTGACTAGAATTAGGAATCAGTGCTGCAGGCAAAGAAGCCACACTGCCCTGCTCCTTCTGCTAATACTGAAACCATTCTGCATCATGCCACATTTCATTTGCCTGAAAGACAAGTTTTAAATGCACTGGTATGCTGTGCTGCTGACCTTTGTCACTGCTTCATACAAGGAGTATTCCTAGGAAAACTGGCTGCCATGTGAAAGGGAGTGTGTGTTGGCAGTATAGAGCATGGACTTCCTAGTATTAGCTTGCCTAGTCCAAATACTGATTCCTGATTGTCTTCAAACTGTGGTCAAGTTACTTAATGCTTCATTTTTCTTTTCTCTAGAAAATATAGGAACATAGTGTTTAACCTCAGAATTGCAGCAATATTGAAATTGGAAAATACTTCATGACAATCAGCAGGATACTTTGTCCTCAAGAAGGAGCTATTATCATTTATAGAGATTTTCTTGAAGTGGACTATTAGACTTCTCAGGCACTGATAGAATCAAATAAATTGAGGAATGTGTTCTATAAAACACATCCCCGTTTCAACAGGAAATACAGAACTAAACAATCTTTTTGCTCTCAACTATCCAAACCTTGGACCTTGGATCTCTGTCTCATCAACTTATTGGCTGGAGTCACTTTTTTTTTTTAAAAAAAAAGGTTTAAATTTTATTTTATGTTTTAAACATTTTATTGACTCACTGTGGGATAGAGCATTGCAAAGCCATTCATGATTGGAATTCAGTCATATAATATGATATTCCAAAACCCATCCCTCCACCAGTGTACATTTCCCAGCACCAGTGTCCTCAGGTTCCCTCCCATCACCCAATACCCCCTCCCCCTTGGAGTCACTTTTAAAATTGGTCACAATCCTGTTTGCCCTTTGAGTTTGTGGAACTTACCAGCCAGATGGATGGTGGGCACTTTTTATCTGCCCCAAACTGAAAACTAAGGTGCTATTTTTTTATTCTATGGGCTTCAAATGCAAAAATTTTCATCGGTGAACTGCTGTAGGACAGTTCAGGAGGAAAGAAAATCTGTAGGGGAGATTATTACTATAGAACGTAGTCATGTGAGGGAGTGCCTTTGCTCTTTATCTGGGATTTAGTAATTGTCTTCAGGTGATTTCTCACTGCTTTCTGGAATGTGTTAAAAATGGTTACCACTGTTAAATTTTACTGTTGGCCACCAAAAGAATTGATAGAACAATTTGCTATGTCTATCCACAATGATGACTTATAACTATAAGATGATGATGACTACAATACATATTTTTCCTCAAATTACTATGGGAATTATGACCAGACAACCTACTACAACTTGAAAATGTTAAATCAAAATGTTCTTAATAAATCTAAACTATGAAATGTCATAGCTAAGCTTTACTTACCATGAACATGCTCAGATTACTTACATGAAGCCTTTTTTTATTTTTATTTTTTTTTCTGGTTGAACTATTTTTATTATATGCCAAATCTATATCAATTTGCCCATCTTTTTATAAAAACATATATCAAACACATGTAACATATGGGTATGTATTTGTACACATGATTTTTGTATATGTAGATAATGAGTATGTGGATAGATTATCAAATATACATAGAAAGGTTTTACATTTTAGAATTAATTTACACAATTATAAACCTAGAAAGTGTTCATCTTATAGGGATCTTGGTCTTTTATCAGATATACTGAGATATTTGACATCCAGTACTGCCTGAGTTGAAGGTATGCAGCATAATTAGTTGGCATCCATGTGTTGTTAAATACATAAGTTAATACTCATCATCTCATATAGATAATACAAAGAAATGGTTCCTTGTATTGAGAAGCTTTACCTTAAAATGTAATTTCTAGCAATTTTCAAATACAACATATTACAGGACTAACTCTAATTACCATATACAGAAAGTTTTTATCTTGCAATTACAAGTTTTTATGTATAAACTCCTTTCACAGGGGGCCCCAATCTGTTAAAAATCATCAACATTTTGAATGAGGATGCCCACATGAAGCCTTTTTTTAAAACAGAAATTGAATCAGTGTGAGATACACAGTTACAAAGTTACTCATGATTGAGCTTCAATCATACACTTTTCCGACACCCCTTCCTTTACCAGTATACATTTCCTGCTACCAGTGAAGCCTGTTTTACAGTGGAGTTTCTAATAGCTTATGTAATCTATTTATTTATGTAGTTTACTGGAAATGAAAATAGAATGATTGTTTACCCTTGTAACTGAGTGATGAGCTGGTAGCTTTACCTGGGTGTTGATATCCAACACCACGAGAGAGTTTAGAATTGCGTATCTGTAGCACTGTAGCACTGTCCTCCCGTTGTTCACCAATTTGCTCGAGCGGGCCCAATAACGTCTCCATTGTGAGATTTGTTGTTAATGTGCTTGGCATATCAAATACGTCACGGGTAGCTTGCCAGGCTCTCTGAGAGGGGCAGAGGAATTGAACCTAGCCTGACTAGGTGGGCTGTGTGCTATCACCCTACCCGCTATGCTATTGCTCCAGCCCATAGAACTGCATTTCATTGACCTAAAAAAAAAAGGCCAAAGATCAAAATTTGTGGCGTGGTTTTTATACTGAATACATCTGTTTTCAAATGCATTATTATAAGGTGAAATCATTATATCATTGTAATTCACAGACTATAATAGTTAACGTTTTTTCTTTTGGGGGGCACACCTGACATATTAAGGAGAGGTTCTATTTTAACCCCCGTTGTGTTTAACCTCAGAATTGCAGCAATTCTGTGTGTATAATGGAGGCTGACAAGAATTTAGAAAATGAATCCAAGGCTGTGCTTTAAATGAATCTTAAAGTAGCACATTCATCTGAGATCTCACTCATGGTATTGCAATCAGCCAGTATCAAAGCAAAAAGTATTTTATGGTGTCTGTGGCTGATTTTTAATCCACTTATGATTAGATAATTACTCTTTTTCCCTATATTTCCCAGGCAATGGTCAGCAGTCATGGGGTCCACTCAGCAATTCTTGGCCAACTGGGCTTTTGGTTCAATGTAAGGGTTTAAGAATACAGAGCTTCTCTGATCCTGTGGTGCTGGGGATTACCTGAGTCACCCAGGTAACTGGGCTCTGGGCCTTCTATGGCTACACCCAGTGATACTGAAGATATTGTGGTTCTGGGGATAAAACTGAGGTCAGCTGCATTGAAGACCTCCACTTTAGCCCTTTATCTTTCTAGTCATTGGGAAGATACATTTTATTAGTAATCATGGAAGTCCATGCACCATCCACCAAGTCCTTCAACTGTATGAAGTTACATTTTGAGAAAGAAACACTGTGACAAATATTGTTTGATCTTTGTTTTCCAGCTTCCATTGTGATTCAGAAATGGTGGTGTCACATGAATCCTTGTCTGGAAGGAGAGGATTGTAAAGTGTTGCCAGATTACTCAGGTTGGTCCTGTAGCAGTGGCAATAAAGTCAAAACTACAAAGGCAAGTATAGCCAAAACACAGTGATGATTTACAACACTAGTGCATGACTGATAGTACCTTGCCAACAAGAGGACAGAATTATTTTTTCACTGAGAAGCCAGCTTGAATTGTGCCACCCATGGCTTTGGTCTTTTAGAAAAACTCTTTCAACATCATCCCTTAGGTCAGATTTTGTATAGCAGTGATTTGCTGAGTGAACTGGTAATTTTTGGCAGGGTGAGTAAATCTGTTTCAGCTCCTTCCTGAGCCTTATTTAAAGTGAAGATTTGAGGGCTGCAGACCAGCATATCAACACAGCATGGGAAGAATCTACACACAGATGACTTCCTGAGAGAGAAACTTCTACCGGTCAGGAGATCTAGTGGTTGAAACCACATTTCAGTTCACCGGTTAATAGTTTCCTTTCCGCTTGACTTGTCCAATTCTGTCTCTGGAGGGCATTGTTGTAGACCCAGTCTTAAACCAGTAATCAAACTTTTCCTCATTTCCCCATGTCTAACCTATTAATTTGTCAATGGAATTGTTACTCTCAAATCTCTCTATGCTTTTGTGCCACTTACGCCCCCCCCCACCCCTTTCCATGCCATTGTATTTTATCTGTCCCCATGTGAACTTCTGAGTTGCTATTTCACCTCTTCCTTTTCTCCCTTCAAGATGATTCTTGATATAATGACTAGCATCAGCCTATACAAAGAAATTATCCTAAGCTAGTCCACCCTCAATTTTCCAATGGCTTATTCACTGTTTCCTGAAATTTGGACCTCATAAATAACTCGACTATCCACTTTTTAAAAATTATTCTTAAATATCTGCTAGTCATTCTTACTGTGCTATCTTGGCAGTGCTAAAGAAATATACTAATTTCATTTCTAGTGAGCAGTTATTTTTTTAAGGGATCCTGACTAGATTCACATCTACTTTCCTCTTTACCTTCGAACATTTGCTGAGGCAACATTTTACATCTTTACTTGAATTGCAAGGGCTGGAGCGATAGCACAGCAGTAGGGCATTTGCCTTGCATGCAGCTGGCCCGGCCGAGCCGGGTTCGTTTCCTCCGCCCCTCTCGGAGAGCCCAGCAAGCTACCGAGAGTATCTCGCCCTCACGGCAAAGCCTGACAAGCTACCCGTGATGTATTCAATGTGCCAAACACAGTAGCAGCAATTCTCATGATGGAGATGTTACTGGGCCCACTCAAGCAAATTGATGAACAACTGGAGGACAGTGCTATTTGAATTGCTGTACTTGTTTGCTCACTATTTCTAAGAGAGAGCTGTAAAGTCACAGTCAGCTTTACTCTTGTTGACCCTGAGAGTTACTCATACACTAAGCTGACTCTTACTACTTTTTGAAAGAAAATAAATAAAATAGGCCATTCAGGAAATTTTAGAATTAGACATAGTGAAATGGAGTAACTGCTTAGCTCTGGCTGCTATCTAAGTTTTTAATGGATTCTCATCTTGCTTATATTTTCCTATTTATGAGGTTTTTGACTAACAAAGAGTTCTCATTCATTTTCAACAACTAAAGTCAAAAGTATGATTTATATACATAGGTATATTAATAAATGCAAATTTAAAGTATATTTAAGTATGATGGGCTGGAGTCATACCACAGCGGTAGGGCGTTTGCCTTGCGCGCAGCTGGCTGGCTGAGCCGGGTTCGATTTCTCCGCCCTTCTTGGAGAGCCCGGCAAGCTACTGAGAGTATCTCACCCACACGGCAAAGCCTGGTAAGCTACCCGTGACATAGTCAACATGCCAAAAAACAGTAACAACAAGTCTCACAATGGAGACATTTCTGGATCCACTCAAGCAAATCTATGAACAACAGGAGGACAGTGACAGATTTAAATATGATATAAAGTCCATATTAAATTAAAATTTAGTTGATATATTATCATATCCATAATTTCTATAGTAAGCCAATTATATTCTTTATTACCTAGTCAAAATTATAATTTCAAAATCAAGAACTTCCAACACTAATTACAATTATCAACTCATCTGTCCTTGAGTAGTGATTCTGAGATGATAAAATAATTGATATGTAAATATTTTTATACGTTTGTTAGTAGAATTTTATGGAGTCATTGGTGGGTTAAAGAAAAAAAACATAATACTCCCACAGTTTCTACCAATTTCTCTTTTAAAGAACTCTCAATAAACTTCCAATCTGTGTAATCCCAAGGATGCTTGCTAAGCAAACCCTGTTTTAAGATAATTCCACAAACATTATTCCAAAGGTCCCTTTTAATCATTTTATCCCAATTAGATAAAAGTGGTGCTGTCTATAAGCAAAGGCCTTACATCCATGCAAGATCTTTCATCATATTTTTAGATCAAGAAAGAACATTTTGGAAGATTAAACTTCTATTGATTCTTACAAGTAAACTAAAATTAAAAACATTAATTGTGCAAACTATATTCTGGAAAAGCATAGTCCCTTATTGCAGTGGATCCCTGTCTGTTTATGTGCAGTTAGAGAAGGCATTTGCAGGAAGAAACCTTTGGGGCATTTTGGCTTTGTGTTATGGGAGTATAAGTTTCTTCAGCTAAATCCTCAGTGGTAGTGACATTTCATTTAGCACTTTGAAAAGTTGTAGAAACATCATACAGTTCCCCAAGCCATCATGATACTTGGCCTTTTTTTTTTCCCCCTTCAGTGATATGCCTCTTGAGAGTAATCTCAAAGTCATAAAACTTTGTTTCCTTTATTAATCCAAGTCTGTGTGACTTGAACTGCATAAAACATTTTATGTCTTTTATGGATCTTATGCACATAGAGTAAATTCATTTGTGAAGCTCACAGAACCTATATCATTTTTCTTTAAATTGACACTGACCTTACACCACAGATGAGACAGAGGTCCTATAAAGGTAGAGCAATTGCCTTGCTAGAGGGGATATTAACTATATAATAAAATAGTTTCCATTTCCCTTAAACAGTTCATGCACAGCAGCATCAAAATACCGGAAGACTTAAAAAGTAAGATTGTCTTCAGTAAGCCTCCTATGTCAGAATTTTATGTTCTATTTAAATGCAAATATGAAAAGAGTTACCAGTCAACTTGAGATATTAATAGACTAAGATGAAGATAGGAAAATGAGTGGACAATTATCTAACCAGTCATCTTTTCTTTCCTGGATATAAAAGACTGGCAAGAGTTTACCCTATAGTTACAAAAGTTCCCAGAAATAGAATCACTACTTCTTATGGGGAGTATGTAGCAATTGTTCTGAATCAGTTTTCCATTTTTTTTGTATAATTCTAAGTTTACTATATTCTCTGTATCAAATAGTCTTCTCCCATTTACACTATTATCATTATTTTAAAAATTTAGGTGTCCCCTAGAAGTATTCAGGTTGCCAGTGGAGCACTCCCAACAACACACACCTGAGCCACATGGGTCAATGCATGACTACTTCATGACTGCTTCAGGATGCCAGGAATGTTATGCATAGTCTGGGGTTCATACAGTGTTAGGTATTGGATTGGGTCCGTTCCCATGAGACTTATATATGACTCTGACCACTGAGTTATCTCCCAGGGCATACAATGTTCTTATAAAAGCTCCTAACAAGTACATAATAGATTTGTGTGAAAATCAGTAATCTTCCAGGGTTTTGGATTGTTTGAAAGTAGATGCAAGTCACAGTGAATTTTGAGAAATTTGAAAGTTCGTAGTGTTCTTGTTTTTAAAACACCTACTTAGGATGAAAATCTGTGTCTTTAGAGCAATAAGGGCAATTTTGGCCATACGTAGACATTTTAAATTGTCACATATTGTGAAGGATCTTTATCTTGTGGATAAAGACCAAAGATGCTGATGCTAAACCATTCAAAAATATGAATGGAGTTCAAGATGCTAAACCAGAAAGAATATGGATTTACCTCCTCCATAGACACAAAACATGTACATCTATATAGGAGCAACTACCTTCTATAGCACTGTCCTCCCATTGTTCATCGATTTGCTCTAGCGGGCACCAGTACTGTCTCCATTGTGAGACTTGTTGTTACTGTTTTTGGCATATCAAATATGCCATGGGGAGCTTACCAGGCTCGGCTGTGTAGGCAGGATATAGCTTGCTGGGCTCTCAGAGAGGGATGGAGGAATCGAACCTGAGTTGGCTGCATGCAAGGCAAACACCCTAGCCACGGTGCTGTCGTTGCACATAGAAAACATAGCTCTGCCAAGATGCCACATAACCTCACCAGCCTTGATCTAAACCATTTAGTCAATGTTCTCTATGCCAGTACATCAATATTCAGTCAGGAAATCAGTATTAAAACCAGTAGAATTGTTTTTAATCAACATGATTAATTGAAGAAGCATTCTATTTTATTTATTGCATTTATTTGGGTTTGGCTCAGGGGACTCCATGGGATGCTGGGGATCAAATTCCGGTCAACCCCATGCAAGGCAAGTGTCCTCCCCACTGTACTATTTCTCCGGCCCCTGGAGAATTATTATTATTTTTAATAATGTAGGAGTACTGCTATTTGTTCAGCCTTTGATTAAGCTGATTGAATTGGGCATGAACTCCACATTACTTTTTTTTTTAACCACCATGAGATACAGTTACAAAGCTTTCATGTTTGAGATTAAGTCATATAATGATGGAACACCTATCCCTCCACCAGTGGGCATTTTCCACCACCAATATCCACCCCCCGCCCCCCGCCAACGAGTGAGCATCGCATGATGTAACCCAAAAAGGAAAAATAACATGCAGTTTTTCTATCTGGTTTTCCTTAAAAATCTGCACCACTTGCATTTACAGGGTTTGTTGTTGTTTTTAAGTCATAAGAGATTAGGGATGTTTGGGTCTCCAGCACCCAACGCTGAACACTGAGAGATGTGGGTGACCAACTGTCTACCCCCAGAGCCAAGGTCAGGGAGTAAGACGCAGCCCCCCAACACATGAAGACAGACATGGCACTTTGCACTGGCTCACCCCCAGAACCAAGGCCTGGACGATGCAGCCTTCCGAATGCA